GGAAAAGCAAAATAAAGAATACACTTATTGGCATATGACCCTATCAGTTCATTTTACAAATGCTATTCTCCTGCCTGTAATCACTCCATCCACAAATCAGTTCATTCATTTAATAAGTAGTTATCAAGCATCCACTGAAGCTAACCTTGTGCTATGGTTCTAGAAATATAGAGATGAACAAGACATAGTGTAGTCCCTGGCCTCATCTAGTGGAGAAGAGACACTTAAGAAGTTATGATACTTTCTAACAATTACTATCTAACAAGTGCTGGGTTTGGAATGGGTGTAGTTATTTCTGAAGGAATACTGAAAATAAACATTTTTGAACTTTTAAAATACTATATTCTCTGCTTAGATTGTTCTTTCCACTTCTCATCCATTCCAATTTTCATTCCATTTATTCAAATCAGTGCATCATTCAAGACCAGAACAAGTATCATTCCCTTTCTGACCCCTTATAGGAACAAACTGGCTAAACGGAGATATAGTAAGCATTGAGTTTGGTACAGATTAAAGAGGAGTTGAAGTTCATGTTTGGTTAGTATTCAAGAAAGACCTACTGTGATGCTTTTTTCTTACAGCAGGCTCAAAAGCTCATTCTGGCCCAAGGGTATAGTCTAATGCTTCAACTCAGGTTATTGCATCTCTTCTGATCCTTCCCTGGTCATCCACCTTGGTACTATATTTGAATTGAGATCCTAATTCTTGACATAGGAGCTTTGGACATTGATCTTGATTTTTACAACGTTAATTCTAGTTGACATTTCAACCTTGATTTTTATGTTTCCTGGACTAAAATACTGAATCAGACTGAACCCACTAAATAACAGGGTAAAAGGACCAAGATGTAGTCTTAACATCATATCAGTCTTTCCTCCTTTCTGTTCTCTCATAGGATGCTGCCCCAATATAGTACTTTATCTATTTATAACATGTGTGCAAGCTTTGGACCAAGTACTCTTATATCTTTTCTCCTCATCTCTAGCATCTAATATATGATGCTAGTATGATGCCATTGAGTTCAATATGTAGTTATAGAGTTGTATTAAAAGAGAAATTACTGACCTCTTCACCATTTTTTTTCCTGCCCAAAGCATACTGTTTTGTTGCTTCAATAAATCGCACAGGGATATTGTATACTCGCTTATTAAAAAATACAACTAATGTATATGGCTGTTTGGAATCGTGACCAGAGCTTTTCCGAATGAGAAATGATCCATCCTGTTTATTAAATGAAAAGCATAATTATGGTTAGTATTACTTACACTTCCACAAGTTAGAAATAAGTTTATGAAAAATAGCTATGTTATATTTAAAATACAAGTATTTATAAGTTTTTCTATTGTTGATAAGTTTGTTTTATTATTTTCCAAGAAAACACTTCAGTAAACTACATACTTATACAAAAATAAACTTATATTTTATACTTATATATGTTTATATATACTTATAAAAAATCCTGAAATCAATGCACTAAATAAAGATATTATGTTTATAGAATTTAGAAATGTGTGAAGGGACACATTAAGATCAAACCTAGAGGGCACTCTTGAACTAGGAACTATGTCCACAAGTTGCCTATGAATAAAAAAACGTTATCAAACAAATTTTACTCAAAAGTACTTGTAAGAAGAAAGTAGAAATTGTGGGTAAAAATATTTCAGCTGATAAAAATTCTCTCCTTCAAAACTTATATTGAAGCAGATAAAACTGTAACACAACATTCCAAATTGAAATATTTTATAAAATATTCTAAAATCATAAATTCAAAAATTATGAACAAAAGGACAAAAAACAGGAAGAAAAATGCAACAACAGTTGAACGAATTCTGAAAAGAAAATAGCCGCTGGTGTGGCTCAGTCGTTGAGCATCGACACATGAACCAGAAGGTCACAGTTTGATTCTGGGTTAGGGTATGTGCCCATGTTGTGGGCTCGATCACCAGTAGGAGGTGTGCAGGAGGCAGCCAATCAGTAATTATTTCTCATAACTGATATTTCTATCTCTCTCTCCATCTCCCTTTCTCCCTCTGAAATCAATAAAAAAACATATTTTTTTAAAAAGATTAAAAAAAAAGAAAATAAAAAGAAAGACAAACCTGTCTCAGAAATTAAGAAACAATTACAGGATGCCCAAGGGACAACAGCTTCTGAGTGAAGATATGGAAACCACCAAGACAGAGAGGGGTGGGGGAGATTTTTAAAAAAGAAGTACAACAACAGGAGTGGTTGGAATGAAAGAGACAAAAAAGGTCCAAATGCATGTTATTTGAGTCCTTGAAGAAGAAAAACAAAACAATGAAACAGAACTATTCTTTGAGACTATAATTTAAGAAAACGTACTGGAAATAAGAGAAAACTTAAATCTATTTATTGAAAGGGCTTCCCTCTACCTGAAAAAATTGACCTGAAAAGCAACTCTGAGACATATTCTGGTAAAACTATTAAACTTTAAAAACAAAAAATGTACAGAGTTTTAGACTAAAATATCAAATTACAGATAAGGACAAGAAAATAACATTAGCATCAGGTAGAACAAGGCAATCCAGTGGAGCAACACTTAAGCTAAGGCTTTTATATCCAGCCAAGATTTCCTCCAGGTGTCAGGCTATGAAAAACAGTTTTGAATGTGCAAGAATTCAGGGAATAATGTAAACACTGTCCTTCCTGAGAATACAGTACAAGGTGAGCTTCATCAAACAAAAGAGATAACTGGGAAAGCCAGCAAAGGGAATGATGGAAAGCATTTAATATATTTAATTGTAGAGTTAGGACTAAAACAAAGGTGGCACAAACAGTATGTAAATATTATATATTCTGACAAAGGGTGCAAGTGGAAAAAATGGCAGGGGAAAAGAGAAAGAAAGGGAAATTGGCACTTTAATCTTGGATTGTTCAAACCGTCCCTAGTGTTCCTACATGATTGGGCTTGGATGCTCCCAAAATCTCTTTCCAAGTACTTTGTGCCATCTTGACCTCAGCTTTTATCCCATGCTCTGGTCCAAAGTAGCCTGTTACTTTGCACTCCTGGATGGATCTCATGTAGCACCAAGCCTTTTAGAGATCTCCCCTGGAGCCTTCTTCTCTCTCACTGTAGGGAGAGCAGAGGAGCCTATGGATCCTCGTGGCAATGAAAGGACAAGTAGAGATGAGATGGAGGAACAAAGAGGGAGATGCTTGAAAGAGAGGAGGGAATGGCAGGTCCTTCTGAGTAAGTAAAGAAAAAAGATCCCTGCATCCATAATTGTTGCAGTTATTTAATTAGCATATTATTAGGATGACAACTGTGCCTATTACAGGCTGAGGGCAGGATATGAGATTTTAAATGGCCAAACCTTGTTTGATCTGTATAATGCCTCTTCAGCAGACTTTCGATCACAGGCACCAGCATACCATGGCTTACAGTGAATGTCAGCTTCCTGCGAAATAGAGGGAATTGTTAAGCAAGAGATGGTCCTTCAAAGACACCATACCTTCTGTGCATGAATGACAGTCACATTTTGCCTAACTACATGTGAACCAGTATTTGTCATGAGTTTATGCTTCCTTTGATCAATCACAGAGTTATATAATTGATTTCCCCCCCCCATTTGGCCTTAGCTGCTAACCTTAGAAATTGCACATAAGAACTAAACCCTGCTAAATTCCTGAACCATTCATTCCTTTCTCCTAAATAAGTTATGATCTCCCTTCGCTTCCTTTGATCAATCACAGAGTTATATAATTGATTTTTTCCCCCCATTTGGCCTTAGCTGCTAACCTTAGAAATTGAACCTAAGAACTAAGTCCTGCTAAATTCCTGAACCATTCATTTCTTTTTTCCCAAATAAGTTATGATCTCCCTTTCCATTGTGATCTCACTGTTTTTGCTTTGTGGAGTGCTTAACAATTTCAAAGTGTTCTCACAAATGTTATCTTATTTGATTCTTGCAACTACTTTGAAGGCAAGGAGGATAAATGCTGTCATCCCTGATTTACATTTGAAAAAGCTTAGAGAGACTTGCCCAAGGACACAGAGATTCCCTGCTCTCTTTATAGACTATGCTGCTTCAGTGTTTTAGTATCATATGCCTCCACAGATCTTTCTGAGAAAATTACACAGTTTCAGTAGAAACTATGTGAGAGGAAGAACAATAGAAGGGAACATTTCTTTTCTAGTTTTGAAGAACCACAAATTGTTATTTAGGGTATCTAGAATACAAAATGGAACAACTGGAGAAAGGTCTTAATAACAGGAAAAAATGTATTCTGTACCCATCAATAAATGACAATTTAAAATACTCAAGCTTTACTCCAAACCCTCTCTTCTAAGAAGACATGCCATTTCTGCAGTTTACCGGTAACAATAAGAGTTCATTTCATACCTGTTCTGACACGCTGGAATTAGAGGAAAAGCTGGGTAATGGGCCATCCACAGTTGGGCTACCCCCTTCTGGAAACCCTAAAAGGGATTTGGAAAATCAATGGATCTCTGTTATTTCTTGAGCAGTAACTAAGCCCATACTTCAACACTATGGTGGTTGCTGCAGGGTACACACATACTGAAAAGTCACACACACCCCCAAAAGCCTTAAGAGCAATGGTTCTCAAAGCATAGTCTGAGGCTGCAGGGAATCCCCAAGATCCTTTCAGGGGGTTTTTCATGTCTTTTTCAAATACAAAGCTCCGTGAAGCCCAGTTTTCTTCATATACTTCAACCAGAAAAGTGTAGTGCAGTAGATTGAATGCAGAGGCAGATAGGAGAGTCCAGTTGTCTCTATTATTCCAGACATTAGAGCAGGGGTGGGCAAACTTTTTGACTCGAGGGCCACAATGGGTTCTTAAACTGGACCGGAGGGCCGGAACAAAAGCATGGATCGAGTGTTTGTGTGAACTAATATAAATTCAAAGTAAACATCATTACATAAAAGGGTACGGTCTTTTTTTTTTTTTTTAGTTTTATTCATTTCAAACGGGCTGGATCCGACCCGCGGGCCTTAGTTTGCCCACGGCTGCATTAGAGAGATTTAAACACATGTAAAACAATGCCACTCTCTCCATGAATTGCTTTTGTTTGGAAGATATAGTTATTTTTCATAAAAATATGTTATTTATGTTAACATGCAATGAGTTTAATGGATTACTAAATGTGTTTTAAATGTCTTTTAATGAATACATTCAATATCAATAGAAAGACATAAACTAAAGTTTTGGGGGTCTGATTTTAAGAGTGTTAAATGGTGCCATGGCCAAAATGTTTGAGAATTGCTGCCTTAGGCATAAATTCAGTCTAAGAGTGAAGACACATGAAATAGAGAAAATTCTTAGCTGGTGTTCATTCGTTCGTTCATTCATTCATTCATTCATTTATTCATGATTATGTGCATGATCAAGGCATTGGGATTATACAAGTCAACAAAACAGCAAAATGCCCTGCCCTCCTGGAGCTTAGTCATAAGTGCTATGGAGAAAAATAAGCAGAGAAGGGGGTTGGAGGAAGCCTCTGACAAGTAGTATGTTTAAATACGCTGGTCAGGGGAGGAAGGCCTCACCGAGGTGACACTTGGGTAAGATCTGCAAATGGAGAGGGAGGAGGCATGTCCTATCCCAGGAAAGAATGTTTTAGGCAGAAGGAGCAGTAAGTGCAAGGCCTGGCATGTGTGAGGAAGAGAGAGGGGGCACTGTGCCCAGAGTGCAGTGAGGAAAGGAGAGAGCAATAAGGGGTAAAGTCAGGCAGGAGGTGATAAAGGAACCAGGTTTGTGGGACCTGGTGGACCCCTGACATGACTTGAGCATTCACAAGCATGGTATGGGAAGCTTTTGGAGGTTTTTGAACAGAGCAGTAATGGGACCTGCTTGTCTTTAACAAGATCACGCTGGCTGCAGGGCTGGAAATAGAAGAGGGAAAGAGCAGAGAGAGGAAGCCTGTTCAGTATTCTGCACCCCAGGCAGGAGATGATGGTGGCTTGGAACAAATGGCATCAATGGAAGTAGTGAGAGTTGGATTCCAGATGTCATTTGAAGAAATAGCTGGAATGTGTTTAAAGAAAGCAGGTGATGAGGTCAGGGTGACCAGAGAAACCAGAGCTGTTCTTAATTAAAAGGCAAAGTCTGCAGGAGAAACGGGTTTAGATACAATGAGTGCTTCCGATAAAAGTGTCCAGACGTTCACAGGAGACAGCAGGATGTTCAAAGTAACAGGAGGGAGCAGGAGGGGCTTGCAGGCCCAGCAAGGTGGGGTCTGAAGGAGGGGCCTGCTCTAGGGGTTGGGGAGGAGCCAAGGATGGTGGGCTCTCCCAAGACACACAGTACAAGATGTGTGGTGGTTCCTGCAGTCTGGGCATTTGGAGTTCTAGGCTGACATTTTCAGAACTATAAATATGTACCAGTTCGGTTCTGTTTTCCACATCTTAGCTCATTTTGTCCTCACATCAGCCTTTTGTGGGAGGAGCTGTTAGACCCATTTTGCAGAGGAGGCCCATCTAAAAAGAGGTTCTCATTGCCGCCATTACTCTCTTCCCCCATACTCTGCTACCTTGCTATGTTTTTCTTTATAGCACGTTAGCATTTATTTGATGTTATGTAATTTATCTGGTTGTTTATTTTTTCCTGTCTGTCGCCTCCAGTAGAATAGAAGCTCCATAAGGGCAGGGACTCCGTTTTATTCGCTATTGTTATTCCCTGTGTCTAGAACAGCGCTTGGTACATGGCAGATGGCCAATAAACACTAGTATTTACCAATTGAAATAATGACTTTGGGTTGGAAACAATAAAAGGTATAATAAAGCTTTACACAGTAAAACATAGAATTTCTATAGCCCAACTATTTTCACTTTGGGTTCAGAATTTAAAAAAAATTATATTTAGTATAAGTTTCATGTAAGATGAATACAAAATTAAATTACAAGCTAAAGATCTGATTTCTATTCAGTATAAATCCACAAAATTTTCTGGTATATAACAATTATTTTTTGTATTTAAATTTATTGAATCTTGATTATTTTGGAATATTTTCCAAATTACCCATGTAAGGTAGGATTTTTTTTCCCCCTACATTAAATAGAAAGCAAATCAAGGTTTGGGCAGTAATGTTCTACAGGCCTAACTTACCTGATTCATATATTTTTAGGGTGATGTAATGTTTGCCTTGGGAAAATTATCCAGATATTTTCCAAATCTTTTCAGGGTACCTTTTGTAGATCGATTTTGTGATCATTAAAATGTATGTTAGATTTAATTTAAATAGCTATTATTTATTGAGGACCTTCCATGTACCAAGCACTATACCAAGTACTTTCTATAAATTGTTTTAATCTTCTTTTTCATCTAAAAATGAAAAAGTAAAAATTATCTCAAATCTATCTACTTTTCAAAACAACTCTATGAAAAATATTCTTGGCCCCATTTTACAGATGAAACAAGCTGAAGGGGAGACCAGGATACTAAGATCCTCTAGTTGGAGGTGGCAATGTTGTGTTAGAACCCAGGTGACTCAGACAGGAAGATCCAGCCTGAACTATTACCTGATATTACTCTTCATGACTCCATAGTACTTACTTGGCAGAGGTATGGGTTTTTGGTGGACTTGTCTGAAAGGAAGAATTTAAAAATTAATTAAAGGGCAAAGCACAGGTGAATAAGTTTGACTTTCTGTTTACAGTGAATTCTCTATGAACACTCCCATCACCAAGGAATCAACAGGAATTGCCAGTGAAACAGATCTAAAGGTAGGAGAGGCACCAAAACCTTCAAGATAAGAAAAATTGTTCCCTTTACTTTTGAAAAAGGAGGAGCCTTGACTAAGGCATTATATTTTAGTTAATTCCAATAGTTAACCTGAAAATTAGGTCTCTGAGGTTCTAAGCAGTTCTTTTATTTTTATTTTTTATTTTTTTGGTGTCAGGAGTGGGATATATTAGGTCTCTGAGGTTCTAAGCAGTTCTTTTATTTTTTTATTTATTTTGGTGTCAGGAGTGGGATACGAAAGCAGTTCTTTTAACGTTGTTACCTACTTAAAAGCTGAACACCCTTTAAAACTTAATTGCAAAGCAATGACATGTCAGATCTTTACCAAGCGCCACAAGCGTGTGCCACTGTGTGGTGTAACCATGTGGGCATTAATGCCTGCAGCGACAAGCGGAAGCTCATTTTTAAAGGAAACGATTCTTACTTCTGGGCAGGAGGAAGCACTGGTGACTGCATAGCTTCTTGTCTGTGACTAGACCCTCGGTGGCGTTCAGCAGGTACAGGTTTTTCTGTATCAAGAAAGTGCTCATATTGGAATTAGAGGGAAATGTCCGTCCCCGTGCCCAAACCTAGCAGTATCAACCGATAGGCACTGGATGTGGTCAGATGTCTTCCGATGAACATATTTTCACCAGGATGCTATCTGTTTGTGCACCTGTCAGTCTGGTGATGTGTTTGTGCCATTAGACCAGGACTTTCCTGCTCCCCAGTGTTACAGGCATACCCTACTGTGTGATTTCAGGCAGGAGACAGAGATGAGCAAGTTTTAGCTACCTACCTTCTGCTTTCTATGTGGCCCACACACAGGTGTTACCACATTAGTCTTCATTAGTCATAAGATGCGACTATAAGGAATTTCTTAATGATAAGTGGTAAAATATGACCTTTTAAAAATGATCTACTCTTTCTGAAAAATTAATTCAGCAAATTCAAGGTTATCTCGATAGCAATGTTCATCTCTCGTACATTTCACCATGCTTTCTTGAGGGGGAGAGGAAGAGGAGGAGTTATAACTAGGGAAATGGGCACCACCCAAAATGTAAGAAATTTATGTTGATGCCCATCGTGAAATTGCAGCTGAGCCATTAATAGGTGTGATTATAAATTATGTGATGCTTTATCCTCCCTTGAGTTTGATCTAGGGCAGGGGTGGGCAAACTTTTTGACTTGAGGGCCACAATGGGTTCTTAAACTGGACCGGAGGGCCGGAACAAAAGCATGGATGGAGTGTTTGTGTGGGAATAAAAGTAGTAAGATTCTAAGCAGTCCTGGGTGTTGTGTGGTGCACTGAGACTCAGCCTTGGACCTCTGACGACCGTGCTTCAGGTTTGTGGCACATTACTCTGAGCTTCCATGGAGGCGTTTTGTTCACAACCTAACAACTTGGTAGTTTCAGAAGGAGAAACAATGAACCCATTAGGTCCCCACAGCCTTTGATCACACCTGCTTGACCCTGCTGTCCTGGAGGCTGCTCCCCATTTTGGGTTTGGATGGCCATTGCTATGGTCTTGAAATGAGTCACTAAGGAGATGGCATGCCAACCTCCTGCACTGGGAACCCTTTGGGAATGAGGACATCTGAGCTGCATAGAACATGCCATGAGCTCTTGCTGAGGACAGCAAGGAATGGAAGGACGGCAAGGCGAAAGTATCAACGGAAAGGCAGACGAAAGCAAAACATCAGAAAGAGAGTGATACTTGGAAATAGCTCTTGGGGGAGAAAAGATGTGTCAACCAATGTAAAAGCCTATTGAAGAAATTAATGATTAGAACAACTAAACAGACAGGGGAGTTGTAATGGACATTCAGAAAATGTCCACTGTCCATCCTCAAAGAAACCAGAACACTTTATGTAGATCTGCCCATATTAACTCAGGAAGTGGTGAGAAGAGCACTCCCTAAGCTTTTAACAATAGTTAAAAGTGTGGAATCAGATGGGTGCAGAAATTTAACACTTATGTAGTATTTTAAATGTTGAGATTATGGATGATTCTTACTTCTTTCTGTTTTTCCCCCTAGGATTTTGCAAATACATTTTTTAAGTGGTAATGTTCTAATAAAAAGTAAATGTAAGGTTCTAGGGTTATGATAGAACAAAAAAAGGAAAGCATTTGAAGATGTATTAAGACAAACATTTGAACTCTGAAAACATTATTTTGAAAACTTAGCAAAAGGACTGGTTCACATCAACAGGTTTTTAAAAGTTTCATTCCTTAACCAAACAATTAGTCTAAGATACACAAGTGGCCCTTAGTTAGTCTTCCCACCAATGGAAGGCGATGGCACTGCTTCTGGCAAGCATACCTGTCAGCAAGCAGACAGGTTTGAGGTGTGTAGTCTGTAAGCCACCCCACAGATGCTTCCCAGGCAAGCTGAGGTCCTGACCACTGCTACTCACTACTCATTGCAACGGGAGGGCTACTTTGTTTAGAAAATTGAGTTGTGCCCTGACCGGTTTGGCTCGGTGGATAGAGTGTCGGCCTGTGGACTGAGGAGTCCCAGGTTCGATTCCAGTCAAGGGCATGTGCCTTGGTTGCGGGCACATCCCCAGTGGGGGGTGTGCAGGAGGCAGCTGATGGATGTTTCTAACTCTCTATCCCTCTCACTTCCTCTCTGTAAAAAATCAATAAAATATATTTTTTGAAAAAAGAAAATTGAGTTGCATGTTTACAGTTACCTTATAAATAATGACAGAATTTAGAAAGACATTTATATAGAAATCCTCAATTAAAAGGAGTTTTAGGGCCACACTCCTCCTTTAAAATAAGATAGATTTACCTTCACAAACACTTGAGGCATTCTGTTGAGAGGCAAGAGGAGTCTATTAAAAAAAAAAGGCAAAGATATTCAATACAGTTGAAGGTGGAAATAAAAGTCAAAGCAATATTATTGAAACAAGTATTTGAGGAGAACATTTCTCTGATGCAAAGCCATTCTTTTAGTCATAAAAACAACAATTAGAATGCACAGTCTCCAGTCTAAGCTTTGCATTTAAGTGACAACTCACTGGAGGTGTCTCATGGGAGGAGCAACGTGATCTTGGTGTTGGGCCTTCCCTGCTCTGTCAGTGGGGTTGATGGATAGCAGGACCCCCAGCAGCTGCCGGGCAGTAGCACTTGTGCAGTGGGAATCCAGCATATGGCTTTTGTCTCAGGACCCACTGTCTCAGGGTTTGGTGGCTGATTATAAATGTCAGGCTACAGAGTAGATACCAGGTCAAGGTGGGCTTTCTTGAGTAGTGGACTGCTCCAGGTTCCCTTTGTTCTGGCCAGAATTTGAATTTAGTCAGGCCTGTGTGTGCCTGCTACGCAATTGCCAGGTCCCAGCCAGAGGGTTGGAAATGGACACAGGGGAACCCCGAGGGGAAGACAGATGTTAGGGGAGGCCGACCCTGGCGGCTGATCTGCCAGGGCTACTCAGTAAAGCTGCCGGGGTCCAATGAAGATGAACTCCCAGGCAGCATCTTCCCAGGCTCACTGAGAATTCCGAGTGTTTCTAGGACTGCCCAGACAACACCTTCAGGGCTAAGATTTCTGTGTTCACCTTTGCTGGGAGCATTGTCAACTTTAAATAAGTGGATAAGAATAAATACTGGGAAATAGGAAGTGTGCTTAACTGCAACAGTAACTTACCGTCTTCAGTGTTGTAGCTGGCTTTTTCCTGGGGGATTAAAAAAAAAAAAGATTGGCTTTGTTGCAACATGAAAAGATAAAGTAGAACTATCTGCTTATCATTTTCTTCTCAAATTTAAATTAGAGCAATGAAAGTGGTACAAGTGTGTAGGAAGGTCTCCTGGAAGGGCGGAGAGGGAGGAAGCAGGATTCAGTAGTGCCACGCCCTCCCCACCCCGCCCCGCCCCGCCCCACACACACACATAGGATCCACTGGCAGATGGCAAAGGGGTTAATTGGGGATAAACAGGAGCACCAGTAGCCAGGGAGTCTGCATAACTGAGCTCCTATTCCAGTTCTGTTACTAATTACTCTGTGACTCAGGCCTCTCTGTCAGCTGTGAGGCCACTGTTGGCTGTGAGGCCACTTGGAGATTTAGTTTCCTCATCTGTAAAATGAGGACCAGACTCAGTGTTTTCAATGTGCACAGCGTCCTACCCTCCGCCAACAGCACCCAAGGCTACTGCTTGGGGATGGAGACTGGAGATAGGGTGGCCATGCAGGTGAGGTTGCAGCTGGCACCTCCTCATGCCAGCTTCCGCCTGCTTCTAGGTGTCTGTTCTTTACTAAACTTCTGCCCAGGGTTTCATTCCGAACAGAGAAATCCAAGACCAACACAAGTTTGATCATCACTGTGGTTTGTGGTCCTGCAGGTGTGCTCTTCTGGACGGAAACAGTGGAAAGGCACCCTCCACCCCGATTCCCTTTGTGGCTCCATGCAGGCCCTGCTCATAGCAGTGGTGGGAACATCCACTCCCATCTCACAGATCCTTGTCTGTGGCAGGTACTCACCCGGCCCTGGGCAGTGGGGACGGCACAGCCGGTAACGAAGACGACTTAGTGTCCCAGGCCCCGCTGCTTCGACCTGCACAAACATGTACACAGGTCAGTCTCAAGTTCTGAATCTGGGGCTGATGGTCACAGGGAGGCTGGCCTTAGGGGAGGCTCAGAAGTACACATATTTATTATTTTCAGTAAAGCATGTATTGAAGCTATTGGGGAAAACCTTTTAGGCCAGCGGTTCTCAACCTGTGGGTTGCGACCCCTTTGGGGGTCAAACGACCCTTTCACAGGGGTCGCCTAAGACCATCGGAAAACACATATATAATTACATATTGTTTTTGTGATTAATCACTATGCTTTAATTATGTTCAATTTGTAACAATGAAAATACATCCTGCATATCAGATATTTACATTATGATTCATAACAGTACAAGATTACAGTTATGAAGTAGCAACAAAAATAATTTTATGGTTGGGGGTCACCACAACATGAGGAACCGTATTAAAGGGTCACGGCATTAGGAAGGTTGAGAACCACTGTTTTAGGCAAAGGTGATGAAACATTTTAATAAATATCCACTTATTGGCTCAGAACTAGGATGTAAATTAGGGACTTCGTCATAGATACAGAGAACAGATTGATGGTTGCTAAAGGGAAGGGGTTTGGGGGAATGGGTGAAAAGAGTGAAGGGATTGAAAAGCACAAATTGGTAGTGAAAAAATAGTCATGGGGATGTAAAGTACAGCCTAGAGAATATAGTCAATAATATTAACATTTCTAAGTAACTTCTCTTTTCCCCCCTGAGACAAACCCAGAGTCCCTGATTCTGTGGGCTCAGTGAGAGCCACACAAGGAGTCCTATGGGAGGGAGCCAGGAGCTCACACTTGCAATACATGCACACCAGAGGTGCCTAGAGATGAGGCACAGACCTGCCACTCCTGATCCACACCAGTGGATATCGCTCATTCATAATCACACAAGCACTGATACCTGCACCTCACTTCACATTCTTAGATACTCATTCATTCACCTGACTTCTCAGGGCTTTTGCTCATTGCACAAACAGACAAATTGAGACAAGTTAAGCTACTGTCATCATCTAATTTCTGAGGTCACAGAAGGGACCCAAAGGGCCTTGTCCACTGCACCCCATTTTCTCCTGCCCAATCCTAAAGATAGTCAGTCAACAATCACTATGAGGGAAGACGATGAGACAGGCAGCGCTTCACCACTGGGGCAGAGAGCAGGCCTGGAGGCGGAGAGGCCAGAAGCTAAGCCAGCTCCCCTCAGCATATCCCGGGCCTCCTCTTAGGCCCATGTTCGCCTGCCTGCACATTACTGCTCAGTGAGACAAAAAGCCTATTTATGAATTAAATTGAACTGGAAAAAATATTTTATTAAGAACCTACATTTATAAGTCCAGAATTCCTATTGGACTTAAAGAGGATACTCTGTAAATGTAGGTTGGACCTACCCTTAGTCTATGTTATTTTGGTTTGCGAGACAAAGCACACATAAGTAAACACTGCAGTAATAATCAATTACCAAGAATTCCTGAGGACCTGGTGTGCAGGAAGCATGTGAAGGCTCTATGTTAGGGGCTGGGGAAGAGGGAAGAAGTAACGCTAGGCCGCTGCCCTCTCAGAATTTACAACAGGAGAAAACGTGTACCTCATGCCACCTCATCTGATAGGACCACCTATTCTAAACACAGAAAAGAAAAGGCCTCAAAAAGTATTAAAAATAGAGATCTTTATGTTTATTCTCATGCACTTGACCAGAGACCTTCAGGCTTTCCCACAGAATCCACCTGCTCTTTCTCCACACACAATTCTTTTTTTTCTCAATTATAGATTACATTCCATATTATTCTGTATTAGTTTCAGATGCACAGCACAGTGGCTAGACAGTCACACACTCTAAGAGTAGTCCCTCCCCTGCCCCAAGCACCAGCTGGCCCCATACAGAGCCTGGAAGATATTATTGTCCATATTCCCCTTGCTGCAATCCGCACCTCCGTGACCGCTCTGCAACAGCCAACGTGCACCTCCCAATGCTGCCTTCTACACGCCATTCTTATGTAGGGCCCATTTCCGTAACGCTTAGCGGCACAGAGTGGATGGTGTTGATTTCATGAGCTGCCTCCCCGGCTCCCTATAAAGGAATGCCCCCTCCCAGGAGGTTCCTACTTACATGTCACCTGACCTAGATGTGATTTTCAAAAAGAGACTACATCTGGAATTTGTAACATTGCGCGTGACAATAAACTGAAATATCATCTGAGTATGTAGTATGAGTCCCACTATGTTTCCTTAGCTACTGTATCAAATTGATAGCGTTCTTCAATTTCTTCATAGCTGAGATTGACCTTAAAATACATTTGGTTAGGCCATGGCAGAGCAGCTCCGTTGGTTGGAGCATAGTCCCAATACACCAAGGTTTTGGGTTCAATCCCCCGCCAGGGCACATACAAGAATCAACCAATGAATGCAGATAAGGAAACAACAAATAGATCTCTTTCTCTCTAAAAATCAACCAATCAATAAAAATACACTTGGCTACTCATAGATTTTAATGAAGATTTTGTGGAAGAGGAACAAAAACCTTGCCTGAAAAATAAGGAAGTGTAAAGAAGGTCTAAGTCAGAATTTCCTCCTAGGGGTTCTCCTTAACTACCAAGGGCTCATGTGGCCTGGGTTCATTATCATTGTCACATCTGCTGCCTGGCTTTCTACGCAGCTTCCCTCTTCATATCTCCAAACAGCCTGCCAACGTCTTCCTTCCCCTTCCCTCCTTATAAATAACCTCTGCGATCAGATGGGAGGACAGGCCCATTCTCCTCTGGTGGTGCGGAGGACAGACTGGTGGAGACCTATGGTCTTGCATCAGGAAGACAAGGTTCTAGTTATTTCTCTGCCAGAAAACTGGCTGGGTGACCTCTTACAAGTCACTGTCCCAGTTTCCCCTCTGTGAAACGGGGACACCACCACCTACCTTACTTAACTCAGAGTTACTGTGGTAAGATAATAGGACAACTTTAAAAAGGTATATATTTTTATTGGTTTTTATAGAGAGAGGAAGGGAGGGGGGGAGAGAGAAACATCAATAATGAGAATCATTGATCGGCTGCCTGCTGCACGCCCCCTACTAGGGATCGAGCCCACAATTCATTGATCGGCTGCCTGCTGCACGCCCCCTACTAGGAATCGAGCCCACAATCCCAGGGATATGCCCTTGACCAGAATCGAACCCAGGACCCTTCATTCCACAGGCTGACACACTACCCACTGAGCAAAACCAGCTAGCAGGATAATCAGACAACTTTAAACATGTAAAGAATTAGCCAAATATAAAGTAACATTGTTGGAAAGGGATTAAAAGTATTTGAGGTTTAAAAACATTATGTTAACTAAAAAGAGCCAGATGGAAAAGACTACATATTTTATAGCTCCATCTACATGAAATGTCCAGAAAAGACAAATCTATAGCAACAGAAAGCAGACTGGTGGTTGCCCGGGACTGGGGGTGGGAACAGCATTGGCCATGAATGGGCATAAGGGATCTTTTAGCTTTGAGGTGGGCATGAAACTTTCTAAAACTGGATTGCAGTTATGTTACAAAACTCTGTAAATGCAATGATTTACAAAACTCATTGGATTGTATGTGAAAAATTATAAGTCATAAAGAAACTCAGTAAATATGATTATTGCTGTTTTTGTGTTACCATCTTGTTATCCACCACCACAGTACCTGAGCACCGTACCAGGTACTTTGAATGTGCCTTCTCTAAGCCTCACTTAATATCCAGTGGAGCAAACCGAGTCTCAGAAAGGCTACCAGGCAGGGCTGGGTTTAAACACCAAGGCCATTTGAGTTTAAAGCCCAGGCAGCACTTTCCTTTCCAGCCAGGGCCTCATAATGCTACTCTGGGGCATGATTTGGTGAGTGGAATCACTTGCTGCTTCTCCCTCTATTGGGGAAAGATTAGTGAAACAGAGGTCTGTTTAAAAATAAAAATAATTAATAAAAAAGAAACAGAGGTCTGCTTTTGTGGATGCTCATGGAGGATGGAGCATGACTCTTCTATTTAAGGGCCAGTGACCCTTTCTGCTGCGCTGGGCCTGAAGTCAGACCCAGGGCCACGAATGGATAGGACAACCTGGTACCCTCCTCACGGCCAGTAGCTCCCCTTCCCCAGTCCTGACAAGCAAAGAAGTCTTCAAATATTGCCAAGTGTCCATGGGGGGGTGGTGAGGGGAGGGAGGGGCAAAATCACTCTCAGTTAAGAACCAAGTTCTTGGTTGGAATACTCCGAGGAATAATTTGGGAATGTGCTAGAAGGAGACATGTCCAAAAGCATAATGATAAAAGTGAAAACTAAGTTTTGTTTTAATTGTATTGAGGAAAATATTATGTTAATAATGATATAACATTGCAGGCTTTGGACAAGCTGGTACTTACCACAGTTCCTCAACTAAGAAAGTAATGTACCCTTAGTTTTTCCTTATACTACATATATTTTATGCATCATTCTCTTTTTAGTTTTACATATGACGTTGGTAAGTCTCCATAATTCTTTTCTTTTTAGATTTTTTAAAATTGAATTGATTAGGGTGACATTGGTTAATAAAATTATATATATGTTTCAGGGGTACAATTCTATAATATCATCTGATTTTCCCTAATTCTTAATGATTCCAATGTTGGCATTCTAAGCCCTTGGGATTTAACTGCCTTTTAGCTGTTACAGAAACCACATTATCATTAGGGGCTTGCACACCAGCTGGAGCCGCCCTTACTACTCTCAGGCACGGCATGGACTCTTGCAAAGATTTAATTGAAAAACTTCAGGACAATTTTGGCGATAGGTAACATTTAGCTTACATATTAGCAGGGAATCGTAAACTCCAAAACTCCTCCCGTTTTAGGAAATAAGAACATAGACTGCTTTTTAATGCTATTTACTTAGAGAGGAAGTTCA